TTATAGAGACAGAGCTGAGCTAGAACAAATTATCAAATTCTGCCTGGCTGGAATTTGTAAAAGTGAATATTTTCATTGTGGAAAGGAAAACTCTTTGATATGTAAATTTAACAAAGCAAAAAATTCTATTAAACTCTAAGTTCTATTTAGATTTATTATACAGCTATATATATAGTTATATAAAATTATAGAGAGAGAGCTGGGCTAGAAAAAATTATCAACTTCTGCCTGGCTGGAAATTTGTAAATGTGAATATTTTCATTATGGAAATGAAAACTCTTATAGCAGATAGAGGGTAATTTTTCTTTATATGTGTACCATGTGACATCTCACAGTGCAACTTTCAGACCCCAGAAGAAGTAATTCATTAGAATTCATTAGTTAATGTCATTACTTTTTTATCACTTTTTAAATTTAAAAGTACCACACTGTTTTAAACTCAAATCTAATTGAATAATTTTACTAGTATATGTTTTATTTTATGATATACATACATATATATGACATGACAATTTATAATTTTAGTAAACAAATTCTTACAAATTTCTAAGCACAGTTTCTGGCAATCAAATTTTATCATTTCCTTATTACTTGATTCCCAAAATATCCTACTCAGCAAAATCCTGAAAGACTTCTGTGGATTTCTTATCAGTAGAGGTGTGAGAAAAAAATAAGGTTTCCTTCACTTTGCTTTTTAAAAAACGATGTTATTTATAATATATCAAATAATCCAGATGTAACTAACCCACATTCACCTTCTTTCCTGTGTATCATATCTACTCCAGTTTCTCCTTACCCAGTTTCTTCTGAAACAAATCTTGGAAAGCCTTTAGTATGTATTTCTGAAAGCCAACATTCTTTGTTTTATCATGCACATTTTTCAATATTTTTAAAAAAGTTTTAATTGACAAAATATTTGGATATATTTATAGAATACACAATAATAATGTGCTATATGCATACAATGTATAACAACAAATCAGAGTAATTAGCATTTCCATTCTTCATATATTTATCATTTCTGTGTGATATGATACTTCAGCTTCTTATCTTTTAGTTGTTTTTAACAGACAATAAAATTTTTAGGCTATAGTTATAGCCACAACACAACTAACATAACTAATCCTCCCAATGTAACTGTATTGTATACCCATTCTCCAACCACTCTTAATTTCTCTGACTTCTTATTTTATATTGAACATTATTCTACTCTTTACTTCTATAGGATTAAACTTTATTTTTTGCTCCCACAAATGAGTAAGAACATGTAGTATTGTCATTTTTGTGTCTTGCCTTATTTCATTTAGCATAATGACATAATTTTATCCACATTACTGCAAATGAGAGAATTCCATTATTTTAATGTTACAATAATATTTCCTTGTCTATATATGTCTTACTTTCTTTGTCAATAGACATCTTGTTTTGTGTTTTCCCTTGTTTATTGTCAGTAGTAATGCAATCAAGTTGCTAGTGTAAATAACATTTTTTGTTTTGATACCAGGGATTGAACTCAGGACCTTGAGCTTGAGAGGCAGGCAAGGTGCCACTGAGCTAAATCCCCAGCCCAGTAACATTTTTTGTAATCATTTTATTTCCTTTAGATATAACCTAGTAGTGGGGTTGCTGGATCACACTGTGATTCTACTTCTAATTTTTGGAGAAAACTACATACTATTTTCCATAGCGATTTTACTAATTAACATCCCCACCAATAGTCTATAATAGTTTTTCTTTTCTCATATCCTTACCAGCCTTTGCTATTTTTGGCCTTTTGATTATAGTAATTCCATTTGGGTACTGATGATATCTCATTGTAATTTTGATATATATTTCCCTTGTGTATTTGTCATCTTTCCCATTTCTGGACACAATATCTGATTTAAAGGAAGAAAGATTTAACTGGCTCACAGTCGCAGTGCTATGATCAGGTAGCTCCATGTCAGAAACATCAGAGTGGGAGAGCATAGTGGAAGGAAGCTACCACCCCATGGCAGGCAGGAAGGAGAGAAAGAAGGGAGAAGTTGGTGATAAGAACACAACCTTCCAGGTCATACACTCCAGTGACACATCCTCCTGACCAGACCTCAGGACTGAATATGAGTCTTTGGAGGACATTTTAGATCTAAACTGTAGCACTCTGTGATTATTTAATATTTTATGTATTTATAAATATTTGCATATTTTCTTTTCAGAAATGTCCACTCAGGTCATCTCTCATTATAAAATCATATTATTATATTTTTTGCTCTTCAATTGAGTTTCTTTTATTTTCTGAATATTAATTTTTGCTGAATAGTTTGCAAATATTTTCTTGCATTTCTCAGGCTGTCTCCACTCAATTAATAGATTTTTGTGGTACAGAAACTTCTTAATTTAATGATATTTGTGTAATTTTGCTTTTTTGCCTGTGCTTTTCAGGATATATTCCAAAAATGTTTGCATATACTGATGTCTTGAAATATTTCCCACTTGTTTTATTCTACTAGTTTCATGGTTTCAGGTGCTACATTTAGGTCCATGATCCATTTTTAGTTAAGTTGTGTGGGGGAGAAGTAAGGGTCTAGTTTTACCTTTTGAATAGGGTATCCTAGTTGTCCAGGCACTATTTGTTGATGAAATTGTCCTTCCCCTAGTGTATATTTTTAGCAAATTTGTTGAAAATCAGTTGGCTGCAAATACATTGCTTAATTTCTGGGATCGCTAGTGTGTTCCCCTGGTCTCTGTTTCTGTTTTTATGCCATTTTCAGGCTGCTTCTTTTATTATAGCTTTGTAGTAGCTTTTAATGTCAGCTATTTTGATAGCTCCAGTTTTATACTTTCGTTTTGCATTGTTTTGAATATTTTAGGTTTTCTGTTCCACCTGAATTTAGAAGTTCTTTTTATTTTTGTGAAGAATGTCATTCACATTTTGAATGGGATTACGTTATTTTTGTACAATTACTTTGTCTATCATGGATACACTAATAATAATACTAATTCTTCCAGTTTACAAATAGATGTTTTTCTATTTTTAGTGTCTTCTTAAATTACTTTCATTGTTATTCTATAATTTGTCATTTTA